GAGGCTCTATTTTGTTTTGTAAAAGCTTAAATGTTTATTCAAGCCAAGGGCTTTACATGTATTGAGATTATGACTCTTTTTGGTTGTAACCAAGTAATGTCTTAGAAAGATGTAAGTCTGTAGGGCATTTATTTTGTTGTTATTAGCTGGTGTTACACGCTGTAGATTCAGGATGAACATTTATGAATTTATAATGCATGTAATATCTTTTGTAATATGGACTCTGATAAATGAAAATATACAAATTCTATTATATTCATTTCTCTTACGAGTTGGGTTATTTGTATTATATTTTGGGGGCATGACATGGGAACTAAGGATATGTTCTCTCCAAACTCTCAGGTTCGACTCTTTTCGCCAGAAACTGTTGAAGCCATGGGCTCGTAAGGCATAAATCCTATTTTGTAAAGCGTGTTCGGACTGTAGGCAATGGCAGAGCCAGTAAACTAAATCAGAAGGGACACTTATTGATTACAAATTTAATTTTTTTTCCATAACCAACAATAATAGAAGATAATAATAATTTTTGAATTAATATTAAGTACAAAAACTTAAATAAGTTATTACAAAAGTATTTCACATAAAATTTTTCAATTAACTTCAAGTAAAATCGAAAAAATAGTATTGCGTGTAACTAGTGTATTATGAAAGTCACATAGTTAAGTGTTAAAATAAATTATATAATGGTAAGATAAATTAAATTTTAAAAAAATTTTGAGTAAAAATTTCATAAAATAGTGATATCACGTCATTATTGACATATAATATTACCAACTAATAGTAAAGTAACATATGAAGAGTGAACTCCACATGCAAATATAACTAACACTCTAATAATTTTTACATGTATATAGTAGGTTAATTATATTTGCATATCAATAATGATGGATATTACCTTTATATTGAGATTTTTTCACAAAATTTTCACACAAAAATATAATTTGTTATACTTACTTCATTTTCAATAAAATAATCACTATTGTTTTCATAAATTTAAAAATATATTTGACATTTTATTCTAAATATTATTTTTGTTTAAAATTTAATTTATATATATGTAAAAAATAAATAAATAAAATCAAAAGGGGCATGTGACTCCCTTGGTCACCATGTGGCTTCGCTAATATGCCTAAGCTGGCCAATGATATCTACATATGTGAGAGAGAGAGAGAGAGAGAGAGAGAGAGAGAGAGTAGAGAATGGAGGAAATAAAGAAAGATAAATAGATGTCCATTCCGGGCCTAATTTTTAAAGAACATGATTCATCTGAGTTAAGAATATTTAATATGTTCACGGCCAAACTTGGGCTTTTTTAATTTTCAAATTTTCTTACGATACATGACCGGCCCAGTATTCATGGCCCAGGCTTTAATTAACTAAAAGGGAAATTTAAATTCAATGTATATTTTAAAAATAATTACAGAATAGTAAACTTTTATAAATATTAATAATTAAATCCTTAAACTTTTCTTTTAATTTGTAATAATTTTGTAAAAATATCACTGGGTGGTAATTTCACCTTAACTAAACAACCTCTCACCACTTCAGTGCTAATTTTTTGTTTCTGAATTTCTTTTTCTTCAAAATTTATCGTCATCTTTTCCATAAAAAAAAAAAAAAAATTGTAACAAGTGAAAGTGAAAATAGGTTGCGTTTGGTTGTGTTTTGTAATTATGATTTAAGAGTATGAGTTGTATTTTGAGTTTGTGGGGTTTAGAATTATGATTTGAGTGTAAAAAATTTGTTTGGTAAAGAGTTTTGAAAATAGTTTTGAAAAGAGTTTTGATTTGAGTGGGGAATTGTTGACGTGACATTTGATATTTGATACAAAAATTTACAACTCATAACTAAACATACAACTCAAAATTATTTTAAAGCACATAAAAAAATTTAAAAATTTCAGAAAATATTTTTTTTCGATTATATAAAAATTAACATATCAATTGAAAAAAAAAATCACTATTCCGATCAACCGGCTGGACGACCGGCCAAATGTCCCGTTAAGCCAAATTTTGAAAAAAAAAATTGAAAAACGCGTATGTCAAAACAGAAAACCGCGCCTCAAATAGGATGTTTTATGTAGAGTTTTGGAAACATCATTTAAGAAGTCTAACCAAATATCATACTTGAATTAAAGTGTGGAATCGTGATTTGAAATCACAACCAAACACCATATATTTTAAGGCATTGATTAAGATGAAAATTTTACAGGAAATTGATAGAAAAATTTAAATTTTAATTATAGATAAACTCCTTACATAAACAAATTTAAATTTTATTGTGTTTTTTACAAGAAATTGATAAGTTGGTTACAATGTTTTCTTGTAGTTTTCATCATTTCCATATTAAACAAATATAATTTAATTTTTTTTTTATTTCTCTCACTTTCTAATTATTATCATCATAAACAAACTCATTCTACAGAAAAATATATTTATGTCCGTACAAAAAAAAAATTTAACTTGTATAATAGTATAGATTTGGTCTTCATAATGTTAATTTAATCCAATTGCTAAAGGTTTTTTTTTTAAATTAAAAATAAAATCAAGGGACAAAATAATCTTTATTATCATTAAAGCAAGTGTGGGGCTACGGTCCAATTAAAAATAGTTCATTCCTTTTTAAATTCTTCATCTTGTGCTTGAGTTCTCCTTATTTAATTTGTTAACGTAAATTATTAATTAAAATAAATTGACACAATTTAAAACATTCTGAAAAAAATAAATAAATAAAATAAATAAATTGGATAAACTATCATTAGGTCTTAATAGTTTGACTTAATTTTCATAAAGTTTTATTAAAAATATGTCCTAGTAAAATTGTCGCTAAAAATAATTTTTTGTGATGACTTTTGCATATGTCGGTAAAAATTGACAATTAGTGACTTTTTTGTCATGATTTTTATAAATTATCGCTAAAACGTACAATTAGTGAATTTTTTTGTGACAATTTTATCAAACTGTTTGTGGAAGTTGAAAATTAGTGACTTTTTGTGACGATTGTTTTAAATTGTCACCAAAACTTATAATTAGTGAAAATTAACAATTAGTGACGTTTTTTAATAGTGTTTGATAAAAAATGCCATTAATTATCATAGAATCTTTTGGATAATAAATCCACGTATTAGGACCTACGAATAATTTTTTTTTTATTTTCTTCTGAACTCTTTTGTTTTGTTTTTTTCTTTTTTCTTTTTTTTTTGTTTTTTTTTTTTGTGTGGATATTTTAGTCAAAAAGCCCCACGCTTTTTCTTCCCAAACGAGTTCTAAGATATATACAAGAGTCTCTCCTTTTGACTTTTGTTCTTCTCTGTATTTAAATTGATAATCATCTTATCAGTTTGTCATAGTGTAAAAGAATAAGGATGATGTTTGAGAACCTTGATTTGTCACTTCCATCTTTTTTGCTTTTCTCTCATGACTTAAACGTTTATTGTTAGATACCAAATGTCCTTCAACAGTTTATATGAATAGACTCCTACAGTATGATCCTCCTAGTTGTCATTTCCTGAAATTGACTGCACATTTGATCTTTTTAGTTAGAAGCATTATAAACCAAATAATTTCATTATGTAGAAAATGCACCCACAACACCAAAGTATATACATTGGTACTTGTATCAAAGATTTTGGAAAAGGTTACATAATTAACCTTGACCTTGGTTCATGTCCTCTCACAACATTAGTATTATCTCATCTACTAAATCATCAAGTGCTAAACATAACTTGCTTGCCAATTAAAAACAAAAAAACTAGGTTCATGAGGGTTTCGCTAAAGCAGTATTTGAGGACAAAATTTATACACCTTACTCTTTCACAGGGAGAATAAGAGAGATGCATTAACCACCTCATCAATATTTTGTATTTTTCAAATCTAATAAACTTGACTACATGATCAAGTACTAGGGTTTTTGTTTTTTGGGCACCATAAGAGATCATTCTTGTTAAAAACTAATTACAATTTTGTCATATATTGAGCCAAGAGTGTGGTATGCACCCCCATAAAATTTATGCATCATTTGTATCCTCTTCAATTATGACGTGATAATACCTTTATTACGACAACCACATCCAGTCATAATATTGAGTCACTACTCACCAAATTATTGAAGTTACAATACAATTTTAGTTGGCTGTAACTTCAAACATATTACATAGTAACTTGAGCTTGTTTTGACAACTTATTAAAATAGTCAAAAAGTCACTATAAAAAAGTTAATCCTTTTCTCTACTTTTTTGTAAAAAATTAGAAAGTAAACTAAAATATACAATTTTCAAAACAACCCTTAGAGAGCATTGTAACTGAAGAGGTGCACACTACAAATTTTGCTACATTATGTGTCAAGATAAATTACATTGTTCACCTTTGCATTTTATAGTCATTTTTTTTATTGTAACAATCAACACTTTACAATTTTAGTTAAGTAGCGAAGTAGTCCTTCTATTAGTTTGATGTTAAATTGCCTAATAAAAATTGTTATGTGACCCTTATATGAAGCATTTTTTAGGGAATAAAAATATAATTTTCTATTTATTCTTTATTTTTTACGATATTTTCTCTTTTGACTATATTTTTTAAAGGCACCACCACTAACCACCTCTTACTACTTCCCATGATGGGTTTAAAATAAAATAGAGAGAATAAAGTGAAAAAATAGAGAAGAAGAAGAAGAAAATTACATTTTTTTTTATTTAAAAAAAGGACTCATGTGATGGTTACACGACAATTTCATTAGTTAATTGAACACCAAATTGGTGGACAGATTATATTGTAACTTGACCAAAAGTACAAGCAATTAACTATTACAATTAGAAAATAAAGAATCGAAATAAGATTTGATGTACAATATAAATATGTAAAGTGTAATTTACCCTATGGATTAATATAGTACAAAGTCAAATGCCTCATGATGAGTACTTGGTAGATAGGTTATTAGTACAAAGTTAAATGCCTCATGATGAGTACTTGGCACGTAGGTCCTCCAATAATAAGAAGTCCACCCTAGATGCCCAACTCTTCCGGCTTCCTAAATTGCCACAACTCATCCATGTTGTTCCATAAGGTACCGGCCATGTCATCACCGATCCAATTGCTTCCCGCCATCTGTCCATCCGAGAACAAAAGGTCACGAGGCCCCTCTACCGACATGGGAGAAAGCAAGTTGAAGTCCTCCACTTCATAGTTACCAATATCCACATAGTAACAATCATTTACAAGTGAACTATTGTCACTATTGCCAAAGGCCTCATGAGCTGGACTTGTTGGGTGCTCTAAAATGTCAGGCAATTGTGATGTTCTCATTGAATCTGGGAAACCAATTATTGATTTGGTCATTGAACTTGATTCTTCAATGGGTTGATTGAGACTTTCTAACTTGCTTGGTTGTAGACATGATAATGTCAAAGGGGCTTGCAAGTTGGGATGTAGAGAAGTAATAGTAAAGTTTTGAGCTTCCATGGTTGAAAGAGGAGTAGAATGAGACGATGACGAAGATGGTGATGGAGTTTGCTTCATTTGTTCAAGTAATCTTTGTTGAATTGGCTACAGATTCTGGAGGACACCCCATGTGAAAGGGGTGATCCTCATGTCAACAATGGAAGGCCACCAACCATGTCAAAAGTCAAAGAATGAGGGCTCTCCCACCTACTCCTTTGTGTATAAATAGAGACGGGAGGGAGAGGATATAGATATCAGATGTGGAGCTGAGAGGTGTGAGTTGAGAGCAAAGAGAGAGAATTACAGAGAGTGTTGTAATTCACCATTTTGTTCAATATAGTGAATCCGCTGCCCGTGGACGTAGGCGACTTGCCGAACCACGTTAAAACTTGTGTGTTATTGCTTGTTTGAGTTCCCTGGTGTGCCCCCGATCCTCAACAATTGGTATCAAAGCTCGGGTTGCGAAAAAATCAAATTTTCCCGAAAGTGTCCAGATTTTGAAGTGCTCAAAATCCACTTTTGACCATACCAGGAGGAAGAACTCCCAGAGAGGAGTCCAGAACAGCAAAAACAGAGCCCAGAAGCCTCCACACGCGCCCTCACGCGCTCTCTGAACAAAGCGCGTCAGCCCCAGTCGCACCACGCGCCACCACGCGCCGTTCAGGCAACCGGCGCGTGATCCCAGTCTCATCCACGCGCCACACGCGCGTCTCCAGGGAGAAGACGAGCCACGTGGCGCCACGTCAGTGCCGCGTCATCGCCACGTCATCCGCCACGTCATCGCCACGCGTCCGACAGTCAGGCCACGTGTCAAACACGTGTCAGCCACGTGTCAGCCCAGTCAGCCTGAGCCGCTGACCAGCCGCGTTGACCAGCCGTCAAGCCGTTGACCGCGCCGCCGATCCTCCGTTGACCGCGCCGCCTGCGCCGTTGACCGAGCCGTTGACCAGCCGTTGAC